TGCACAGCTGCCCTCTTTCAAATAAAAATAAAATGGGTTCTGGTTGCTTTTTCTCTCAGTCATTGAGGGCACATCTAGGCAGCAGGGCAAAACTTGAATTAAGCTACGCAACTTGAGCTACTCAATTGCATCGCTGACATTGAAATAGCTCAAGTCAGCTTTTGGCGCTGTCTACACAGTAGGAAGTCGAAGGAAGAGCACTCTTCCTTCCACTTCCCTTATTCCTTGTGGAATCAGGGTTACAGGAGTCAGGGTAAGAAGTCCTCCAGCTCAACGTTATTTCAAAATAAAGGCTTGCAGTGTAGACACGCTCTTTGCTATTTTGGAATAACGTCCGTTATTACGAACTAATGCTGCTGTGTAGACATAGCCCCTAAGTCCCATGGCACCTTTCTTAAAAGCAGGGGCTGCTGGCTTCATTGTCCTAACAAATTTGGGTTAGGTAATGACATTCTGCCAACATAAACTCACCCTGCAGCCCCAATGCATAAAGAATTCTTTACTTTCCACCCTGCAGTATTGTTGTCTACTGTTACATGGCTGGTGCCTCTCCACCCGGAAATGGCTGCACTTCTGTTATGAGAGCAGGGATCTCTTCATATCAGTGGGCACCATTTCCCGCAGTTATCAGGGAGTAGTGCCTGAGCTGGCGTAGTGTTTCCTTACATTTTCAATTCAATACAACGTCAGTGTCTTAGATACTACCCTGGGAAATGTTGACATTTTAATGGCAATGACTCAGTTTGTCAAGTGCTTTTTCCTCCTTTTGAAACGTGCTAGACAGGCATCAATTGCGATTGTTAGCCACAGTTTTTAATTCAAGGAGCAAGGATGTATATGGTATTTGTGCCTTGTAAAACAGAGCTGCTAGTCTCTCTTCAACCCCAGAGTGACTGGCCAGCAGCAGTTCCCCCTCTGCATGCTAAAGGGCACTGTAAAATCCAAATGGCCGGCCTGCACAGGGTGAAGGATCCGCCTGTCTCTTCCAGTGTATCTCCTCTTCTGTCTCTATTTGCTGCTTTAAAAAATATAGTGTCTGAGTGCAGGTGCTGATTCTGTGCACTGATAAGCCAAGTCCAAGCCACCATTAGCTGCTGGACAGGTGGGACCTAGCTAAGATAGGACAACCCAGTCTGGATTCTGCAATCTCCCCAGCGTTCAGGAGGAGGGAGGATTCAAGTACAGGATTTTTACTGAAGCCCCTCATTAAGACTCAGTGAAGTTTTCCAAAGCTGGATGGCTTGTGGGCACCCAGTCTGCACAGACTCTTCTTTACTTGTAGGTGGTTACTCCCTTCCAATGGAAAAAACAAAGGGGGAGGGCAGGGAATGCAAGTAACACTCAGCCTTGAGTGCAGGACTGTGGACCAGGGCAAGTTCTTATGTGGCTTTGGACCCTCGTCTTCATACGCAAATGGAGTCAGCAGACAGAAAGAATGGAAGACAGCACTAAAAAAATGCTGGGTAGGGAAGGAAGCATGGTGGGGGGGGAGTATTTCTAGTTATTCAGCTGAGTAGTTTATTCAACAGGCTTAGAGAGGAGGAGAGGGCAGAAAAAGCGGCGTTCTATGGGGATTAGTAAGGTTTAAGTTCTTTGCATAGACAGGTATAGAATAGACAAAAGTATAATTTGCAAGAATGGACCAATAAAACATGAGTACACTTTATATGTAAATGCTCTGCATTTGGTGAGTCCTGATACGGGATTTTAATCTTCACATTAAAATATGCAACTCCTTTGCATTCCCCACCCCCATGCCCTAGTGGCTTTCAAGTGTCTGGAGATTTACTGGGCCAACAGTATTTAATAGCCTGCCTCGTCTTTGCCGATATCACTACTGAATTCTTTATAATCAGCATTTTCAGTTAAAATTTTAATGGGAAGTGAGAAATCCTTAGGGATATTCAGAGAGAGCTATTAAAAATAGGCCATTTCTCTAACCCTTTCTTTCCTTTGCCTTTTACAGCAGCTGAGCTTGCAATTAAATAGTTTAGCTGGC